CACATGATTGTAGGACACTTCATAACCTTGTCCGGACGGGGAGTGTGAGCTACAAAAGTCAGAACTCGCCGTTTCATGAAGTGAATGGAATAAATAGACATAAAGAATTGTTTTTAAAAAGAAAATTTTGACCCTACCCATTTGTATCAACCTGATGCTTTTGTACTTAGTAGATGCAACAAATAAATGTCCGGCGTTTTAGATGCCAACGGTGCTAGTAACTGTTAGCGAAAACAAACAGATATTTTTTGTATAGTTTTAGTTAGAATTTAACGGCACTTGCAACACAATAAGGTGATATAAGTGCCGAAGATTAGAGGAGTTATAAGAGAATAACAAACATAAAAAGGAAGAGAGATCAGGGCGATATATTTTTGATAGGAAAGAAGGAGCAAAGCACACCAGAGCACCAGCCAACAACCCACAAACAGATTTTTAAAATCCATATTAGAAGAATATATGAAATAGATCTAAGTAAATAGGTAGATAAATGAGTAGATAAATTGGTAAAGTGACTACCAAAAAAAAAAGATACACAACACTATAGGAATTAAATAAACAGGTAGATCTAGATCTAGAATCAAGATCTAAATTATATAGATCCAGGTCTGGATAGGCCTATATCTCCACTTACCTCCAAATGTGCTGCTAAGAAAGTCACGGCTCTAAAGTGGAGCCCTCTAAGTAGTGACAGGCCCTTGTAGTGGCGGCACAAACTCGCTGCAGGTTTACTGAGCAATGCCTCCCCAGCTCTCGGCAATAACTAGACTGCAAATCGGATGTCATGGAAGATCCAAGGGAAAGAACAAAAAATGGCCCACAAAACAGACGGCACGGAGAGAGAGACAATTATCCGGACAGTCCCCAACACCTGAGCACTCTCGTCTGCTTCGCTTTCGCCTCTCTCCGGTCTGCCCCGCTAGCCTCGCCAGACGTCGTCGTATCGCTCTTCGACCGAGACCTCGAGCGAGGGCTGTTTGAAAAAGACACGACGAGAGCTGAAAGAGACAGGGACAAGCGGGGCGGGGCTAGGCCGTGTTGGTTTCACCTGTCACAGGTATGGCAGGCGGAGGAGCCGTGTCGCCCAGGGCTCGGGCGAGTAACGAGACACGTCATTGGTGCGTTTGGCGACGCGCTTCTTTTGCGTCGCTGGTCCCCAGCACGTGCAGATTT